GATGGTATTGTTGCGCGATCATTACCCAATTATAATTTCCTTACCCAGTAGACATAATTTACCTAAAACTTTTCCGCCCTTTTAAAATACAATCTTTCAAAACCAGACTGGCAAACATATACCACTTTGCTGAAAGAAAAAGTAAGCACCCTTCCTGATTTGGACTTCAGAAACTTAACTTATGACGATCACTGCCATGTGAATGAGTGTTATGAAAAATTGGTACAAGCTCTGAAATTTACCGCTGATTCTTACTTCAAAATTAAAAATACCGGCAGAGGTAAAATTCCGTCTCCCCCTGGTGGGACAGTGAATGCACCACAGCTGTTAAGAAAAGAAAAGAGGCAGAAAAAAATACAACCTGGATATAAAATATTTTTGCCAGCGCAAAGAGATTATTTCGTAAAGGTTGGGTTAAATTCTGCTCCGCCCTGGCTCCATCTACTCCAGCTTCAAAGGTATGGAGAAACATTAATGGGTATAGATCTGGGTGTTCTCCATCAACTTCCTTTCGCATTGCACGAGATACAGCTGAACACTTTCTTGATAAAATTGCCGCTCCCTATGTTCCATTTTTAGGAGAAACTTTGTCCTCGTGTTTTCCGAAAGAGAGCTGGAATTGGTTCTTTATAGTGTCAAAGACTGCTCCTGGTTTTGATGGCATCCCATACTCTTTTATGGTAAATGCTGGGAATAGAGCTAGACGATACTTTTTAAATATCCTTAATTTTTCTTTTACCGATGGCTGGATCCCTGATCATTGGAAGATACAAATTATTATCCCCATATTAAAGCTGGGGATAAATGTCAATGACCCAAATAATTTTAGACCTATTGCTCTTTCTTCAGTCCTGATCAAACTACTTGTGGAATCAAGTAACTTACTTCCAAATTTTCAATTTGGCTTTCGCAAGGGTCTTAGCACTATGGACAGTGAGGGAATTTTGGTTTCAGACATCCGACTTTCTTTATCTCAAAATTCATCTGTGGTCGCTGCTTTTTTTTGACGTATCCTCTGCATATGACCGTGTCCTTCTTCCTACTCTCTGGCACAAATTGCACCAGCTGAGACTGCCGGTCAAGATGATACAGTGCATGTGTACGATGTTTATGTCCCGAATTCTAATCCTTAGAGTTTTGGGTAAGGAGTTCGGTCACAGAAAGATATGGAAAGGTTTACCGCAAAGCTCCCTACTAAGTCCATTACTTTATAACCTTTATACGTATGATATTGGTTTATGTTTGAACTACAACTGTCGTATCTTACAATATGCTGACGACTTGGCTCTGTATGTTAGCTACCGTTGCATTCAAGATGCAGCTCAATCTCTTTCTCTCTCATTGAACTCTGTAAGTCAGTGGTTATCTGTCCATAGCATGTACCTTTCCGTTCCCATGAGCGCTGTTGTAATCTTCTCTCGTAAAATGATGCTTCCTACAATTGATGATCTAGTACGACAATATAGCATTCCTATCTTCTCAAAATTCAAATTTCTGGGTGTCTGTTTGGATTCTAACTAGTTTACAACGCGTTAGTACGCAGCATAATTGACTACGGTTTGTTTTTGATTACTCTTTGTAATAAAGGTGCACTAGCAACACTTGACAATGTTCAAGCTAAGTGCTTGCACATTATAACTGGCTGTATGAAGTCCTCTCCCATCAACGCGCTGCAAGTGGAATGTTCTGAACCCCCCTAGCAATAAGAAGACAATTCTTGTCTGCACGTTTAGTTTTTTTTTATGGTATAAGGGGGCAAACGAGCAGACGGGTCACCTGTCAACAACTGTGCAACTCAAAAGTCACAAGTGCGTTGCCGCCCTTGAAGTCCCTCCCGCTCGAGTCAGCGGGAGGGTGGATTTGGGCTCCGGTAACCTCACTCATTCACTTTTTATTAAAAGTTATGTGTAAACCCTGTCACCCCCTCTTCAAAATAATTTCTGACTTGGATACTGTCTGTAATACTTCTAGATATTGGGCACATACGGCAACTCCACTGATACTTCAATCATTTCGTTATTACAAAACTTTTATTAGTAGTACTGTAAAATGTGAAACTTTCCTTCTGTTCTGCTTCGAATACGACATTCTATGCTTTAAACCAGGCGTAATTTTAGACTCTGGAATCCCCAAAGGTTCTGCGAATGCTAATTCGATCTTCAACGCATTTGTTGAAGAACAATAGAAGGGTTATAAAAAAATATTTATTGATGCATTCAAATTATGTAGTGAAAGCTCTGTGGAAGCTGCAGTATACTATCAGGATTCTAGAATTGTCTTAAAATTTAGATGTCCCAAAGAGTCCTCGGTATTTATGGGCGAGTGTGTTGCCATTCTAGAAGCATGTCTCTCGCATCAACAGGGTCGTAATATTTACTGACTCCCTTAGTTGCCTCAAAGCATTATTACAAAATCCATTTCATAATAGGTTACATAGCTCATTAATCCTAAATTAAAAAAGCCTTATATATCACTAGGAACTCAAGTATAATTCAATTGGTATGGGTTCCAAGCCATAGTGGCATTATAGGCAATGAATGTGCAGACTTATTGGCCAAAAATGCTGCTTCTTCTGAAACGGCTGACCTCAAACATTATGTTTACCGTAATTATGATCTCCTGAAGCTCCCCAGGAAAAGTTACTAGCAGCCTGGCAGTTAGTGGAATAGCTCTTCTAAAAGGAAAGGCAACCATTATTATGCCATACAGCCATTAGTAACACCAAAACCATGGTTCTATAAATATATAAAAGTATCCAAACCTGTAATCTCCACCATCTGTAGACTTCGTACAGATCACTGTTGCTCCCCAATTTTCCTAGACAAAATTTGGGTTAGGGATCCATCGCTATGCGAATGTGGATTAGATAAAGGCAATTTAGACCATATTTTCTTTAGCTACAGGAAAAATAACCCATCTTTAGACCTCTACGGGTACTTAAGAAACTTGAAGATTCCCACGCCTATTAATTTCTCTTCTCTCTTAACCTATTCATCTCCAGAACTCTTCGGAACGCTTATGATCTTTATACGTTGTAATACCATCAAACTTTAACCTGTTCTCCTTTAAATTCTATAATTAACAACAAACAGATCACATTTAGTGCAGTGATGTCCTTCAGAGGTTATGTTTTGTCCCTCTACGGCTCTACAAACTCACGCACTTTTATCACAGTTCATCACACATTAGACTTTGGCAGAATTGTCGAAATCGGCACAGGTTGCCATAAGCAAACAAAAATAAAAAAAATACAAGATAGACTAATAAAGACTTTGACGTGCAATTTATAGAAGGACGTTAATTAGATATGAATTGGTTAGAAGATACGCGAAATCTTTGAAATTTTAGGATATACTACTACTACTACAATAATATGCATGTGTAATAAACCTTCCTCTTGAATCACTCTCTTTAGTAAAGAAAACCGCATCAAAATTCGTTGCGTAGTTTGTAAGATCTAATCGTGCAGGAACGGGAAGCGGCTTTATTTTAAAAATAAGCAAGAATACATCTGAATTACTCTCATTTAAAAACAGTTAATGTGTCATGTAGTTATTAGTGTATCGCGATATGAGTAATTCGCACTCCGATTAGCATATATACAACTTCCCAACATCAACCGTCGGCCGCGCTGCGCCAGGCAAGATCACCTCGCCTGGTCGGAGGATCTTCCCTTTCTGTTGGAGGGACATGACACCTGTTCCTCCACGCTTCTCACACTTTAATCATAGCTTATCATTCTTACCTACCTCATTGGTTTAATTGAATAGTGTACTTTTCCGTGTCCTATTACACACTTCCATTCATTTTAATTACATTACTATCACAGATTTCAGAAAAGTGAGAGGAAATGTGTTTGTAATCCCATAAGACATGAATTGCCAGCTTCGGAAGTAACATTATCACCTTCAATCAATCCCGTTAAACTGCAACCCATTTTACTGCCGCGCCCACTGGTTCCAGAATAGTTCTTAGGTTGTTTAAGGGATGTTAGTTTTGATCATAGATAATACATTATATCTGCTACTTTTGATTAAATAGGTGGGCAGTGTGGTCTAACATATTTAATTAGTACTACATCACATTCACACATCATGTAATAGTCCACTGCTAGACATTATGCCTTTTAGGAAGGAGGTTAGGGCCTACTACGGCAGTGCTGAGTTGGCTCTTAGGACACCCACAGGATGAATAGTCATCACAAGGATTAAATCTTTGTAGGAAAATTAGTATTAAGTGCGCCGTAATAGAGCAAATTAAAATAAAGTGATATTTGCATACAACTTAAGTTAATGAAAAGGTTTCTTAAAATTGTCAAAAGTAATAAATTGTTACTTAGTTAGAAGCTAATCTTAGGGCCGACAATTTCGTATTTATTTTACATTTTAACAAAACTGAATAAGTAATCAGCTTCTCATTTAAAAAAAAAAACGTAGAGAGGGATTTAATATTTAGTGTTACTAAAATACAATCATAGACAATATGCTTGTAAGCTTTTTCAAGCTTCACGAAAACAACGGATTAGTATGTATGGTAGTGCGTTAGACTGATTGCGCCGCAAATTATTTTCTCGGGTAAGTTGTTAATAATTTTAGTTCTTATAAACAACTGTGTTGTTTTTCTTGCAAAAATTCGCACTGGAAATTTTTATTTAATAAATAACGTTATGATTCCCAACAATATTCCCAATTTCTACGCGGGGTGTGTGCTCTATATTTTCTTGTACGACTAAAAGGCTATTTTAATTATCTTATTTATATTTGTCTTATAGTCCTTGCGATCAGAGCATGTAATTTTGGTTATAATACATCGTAAGAAGTACTCCAAAACTTCAGTTGACATCTTTGCATAGTGAAGAGGTTATAGCTAGTCTACAAGTCCTACTTAACACAAATATTGTTTGTTCCAGTGATACGTACGGTGAGGAATGAATGTAAAAAAAATATTGCAGTCTTGATTTCATTAAGGGAAAGAAATTTACCTAAGTTGTAACATACAGAATGGCAACTTTAGAACAACAAGCTTCCAAACTTTTGGATTTTAACCAAAAACTTGACATTAATCTTCTTGATAACATTGTTGGATGTTTGTATTCCACTGTTGGAGAGCAACAACGTACTGCTCAAGAGATATTGACAGCACTCAAGGAACACCCAGATGCTTGGACTCGTGTTGATACAATATTGGAGTATTCGCAAAATCAAGAAACAAAATACTATGCCTTACAAATATTAGAACAAGTAATACAAACTAGATGGAAAATATTACCCAGAAATCAATGTGAAGGGATAAAGAAATACATTGTTGGACTCATTATTAAGAATTCTTCAGATCCAACAGTAATGGAGAATAATAAAGTATATTTAAAAAAACTAAACATGATTTTGATTCAAGTGTTAAAAAGAGAATGGCCTCACAATTGGGAAACTTTTATAAGTGACATTGTGGGTGCTTCCAAGACAAATGAGAGCCTATGTCAAAATAACATGGTCATTTTAAAGTTGCTGAGTGAAGAAGTGTTTGTATTCAGTACAGGGCAGCTTACACAGACTAAAGCAAAACACTTAAAAGATACAATGTGCTCTGAGTTCAGTCAAATATTTCAACTTTGTCAATTTGTACTTGAAAATTCACAAAATGCTCCACTGGTTGATGCTACACTTCATACTCTTTTAAGATTTCTAAATTGGATTCCACTTGGCTATATATTTGAAATGAAATTGATAAGTACGCTTATCTATAAGTTTTTAAATGTTCCCATGTTTCGCAATATTACCTTAAGCTGCCTCACGGAGATTGCTGGTGTAACAGTAAGTAACTATGAGGATGACTTTGTATTTCTGCTACTGAGTACTATGGATCAGCTTGAAGCTATGTTGCCACTCACTACCAACATTCGTGAAGCATATGCCGCTGGTCGTGATCAGGAGCAAGTTTTCATTCAGAATCTTGCTTTGTTTCTCTGTACTTATTTGAAAGAGCATGGAACACTTATTGAAAGGAAAGGACTTACAATAGCACTAATGAAGGCCTTCCAATATCTTGTATTGATATCTGAAGTGGAAGAAGTTGAAATTTTCAAGATTTGCTTAGAGTTCTGGAACTCTATAACTGCTGATTTATACAAGATGCAACCTTGTCCCTCTACCTTATGTGCACATGGTAAAAGCATGGGCAGGAAAGCTTTGTATGCTGATGTACTGAGTAGTGTTCGCTACATTATGATCTCTAGAATGGCCAAACCTGAAGAAGTATTAGTTGTTGAAAATGAAAATGGTGAAGTTGTGCGCGAGTTTATGAAGGATACTGATTCTATTAATTTGTATAAGAATATGAGAGAAACTTTAGTTTATTTAACACATTTGGATTGTCAAGATACTGAACGTATTATGACAGAAAAGCTCCAAAATCAAGTTAACGGTACAGAATGGTCTTGGAAGAACTTGAACACACTGTGTTGGGCAATTGGTTCAATTTCTGGAGCTTTATATGAAGATGATGAAAAAAGATTCCTTGTTGTTGTTATCAAAGAACTTTTGGGTCTGTGTGAGCAAAAGAAAGGTAAAGATAATAAGGCTATTATTGCTAGTAACATTATGTATGTGGTGGGACAGTATCCTAGATTCCTAAAAGCTCATTGGAAATTTTTGAAAACTGTTGTGAATAAACTTTTTGAATTCATGCATGAAACCCACGATGGCGTTCAAGACATGGCTTGTGACACTTTCATAAAAATTGCCATCAAGTGTAGGCGACACTTTGTAACTACTCAAGCTGGAGAAGCTTGTCCTTTTATTGAAGAAATTTTAAGCACAATCAGTTCTATTATCTGTGATTTACAAACACTCCAAGTGCACACATTCTATGAAGCAGTGGGATACATGATCAGTGCACAAGTAGATCAAGTTGCCCAAGAACAGCTCATTGAGAAATATATGTTGCTGCCCAATCAAGTTTGGGATGATATCATATCTCAAGCTTCGCACAATGTAGATATTCTCAAGGACCCAGAAGCAGTTAAACAGCTTGTCAGTATTCTCAAAACAAATGTCCGAGCCTGTCGTGCTCTAGGCCATCCATATGTTGTACAGCTGGGCAGAATATATTTGGATATGCTCAATGTTTATAAAGTAATGTCAGAAAACATAAGTCAGGCTATTGCACTGAATGGAGTGGTGGTGACCAAGCAGCCACTCATTAAAAACATGCGCATAATTAAGAAAGAGACATTGAAGTTGATTGGAAATTGGGTGTCACACTCCACAGATAGTAGCATGGTTTTGGAAAACTTTATTCCACCACTTTTAGATGCTGTGCTTTTGGATTATCAAAGAACTGCAGTACCAGATGCTCGAGAACCTGAAGTGTTGTCTTGCATGTCTGCAATTGTTCACAAACTTAGTGGGCATATTACTTCAGAGGTACCCAAAATATTTGATGCTGTTTTTGAATGTACCCTGGAGATGATTAACAAAGACTTTGAAGAATATCCTGAGCACAGGACAGAATTTTTCCTGTTATTAGAAGCAGTAAACACACATTGTTTTAAGGCATTCCTTAGTATACCTCCGGCACAGTTCAAATTGGTTTTGGATTCCATAATTTGGGCATTTAAGCATACAATGAGAAATGTAGCTGATACAGGTCTGCAAATATTATACAAATTGCTCCACAATGTTGATCAACATCCACAAGCAGCACAGAGTTTTTATCAGACATACCTGTGTGATATCCTTGAGCATGTGTTCAGCGTAGTGACAGACACATCCCATGGTGCGGGGCTCACAATGCATGCTACTATACTAGCATATATATTTTCCTTGGTGGAGGCAGGCAGAGTTACAGTGCATCTTGGGTCTACTCCTGATAATATCCTATATATACAGGTAAGAATTACGGTTGTATTTCTTTCTAGAATAATATTATTTGTTTCTGCATATGTCAGATACATAATATATCTAATGTGGAATGTAAAAATAACTTTTAATTTATTCAAGTACCTAAGACTCACGTTATTTTGATTAGTAGACTTAACAACTATCATCAGATAATGATAACACTAATATGAAATAGGTATAATAGACCTATAGTACTTGTAGTAGCTACACTCCATGGGAGAGGGTGCAACATCAGCCAGCATATGTACAGTCGAGCCTTGTAATCATGCTTAGGATACTGTCGGACTTGAATCATGCCCTACACACAAGGGAACCAAATCCTTTATGCATATTTGCGTAGACAAGCTACTTTTGCATCCATGTACTTATCTGATGCACCAAGGAATCAGTTCAGCCTCACCAACAGCCTAACGGTATCATTGTTTTGAACATGGAGAGTTTTGTACTATATCCGAATAAATCTAGCCCACAGACAGCATGTGTAAAAAATTATACAATTAGTGCTCTCTGTACAATGTCAAGGTCATCAGTAAGGTCGGATGTCAATGTGTGGCTGAGATATTAAAATATAAACACTGCTCAATTTTTGGCATATATCTCTCAGATAGCTACCAACTCCCTAATTTGAAAAGCCTACAAATCCAATATTAGTGCCATATTGTCTGCTTAATTACTGTTATTTACGCATACGCCGTCTATGTCACACTCATGTCTAGACAAGCGAAGCTCGCTTGTCAGCTCTTTTACATACAGTTTGAAAAATGTTGGCGAGCTCAGGCCTCCCTCACCTCCTGTCCTCCATATTCCAACCTATACAGCCTAGAGAGGGTTCGAGCTCACATTGTTGGTCTGGTTTCCGTACCAGAACTTAAGAATATTAAGGAACCCCATTGTTAACTTATTTACCTATAACTTTTTCCCTTACAAATCATATTAAACCAGATCAAAGGCACGCGATAAATCATGGAAAGTAGCATATATCGCCGTCTCCCGTTGCTCATAATATCACATCACGTCAATAGTAGTCATAATATAATGTAGAATAATCTTTAAGTCATAATGTAAAATTGTTTCAGGAATATGTGGCAAATCTTCTTAAACGAGCTTTTGCACACTTAACGGACAACCAAATCAAAATTACTGTTCAAGGGCTATTTAACTTGAATCATGACATCCCTGCTTTTAAGGATCATCTAAGAGACTTCTTAGTTCAAATTAGGGTAAGTTCCTACAATTTCTATTGTCGATCACTGATACTGCAAACTAATAACAATGTAATACTACATTGTTATTAGCAGCTAGTGAACTCCAAACTCCTACGTATAGGATTCTAGTTACAAGGTTATGGACCGTTAAAAAATAGTTATGGCTAGCAAAATTAAATACCAACACTAACTAATATGAGATATCCATTCATTATCTGTTATGTCTGTAACAGGTAATGGAACAAGAATTGTGACCATATTTTTTTTTTTCAACAATGGCATTGTGTTGCGCCGAATCCTAAAGGTGGCCCTAAAGTTAGCTGTGCACACAGGCAAGTCACAAGTTAGCTCTGCTACGTCCAGCTGCTGTTTATTATTGTGTTCTGCGCATTGAAACGCACGATGTTCCGAGCCGCCATTAAGTTTGCATCGGACTGCTAAAACCAATGTGCTGTACATATAAGTATTATAATGTATTTTAATAATTTCAGGAGTACACTGGTGAGGATGACAGTGACTTATATTTGGAGGAGCGTTTGTTTGCACTTCGTCAAGCACAGGAGGACAAGCGGAGAGTTCAGTTGTCGGTGCCAGGCATTCTCAATCCTCATGAATTGCCAGAAGAGATGCAAGATTAAATCTAGTTAAAGTTAAAAATGGTGGCAGTTCACAATCTATTGTGAGTAAAAGTATATATTTGTATCTGAGTGTGTGAAGGTCGAGATGATATTTAAGGTATTAAGAAAGAAAATGGTTAATTTTACGTAAATTCTATTATGTACTTGTTAAACATACTTTCTAATACTCTCAGATTCCAATAAAGTTGTAATAACATTTAGTTGTCACAATGCAAGGCACACTCGCATACTTATCATAGTATAACACTTGTAGATTTTATAGGTACTTAATGTTTAAGTTTTACCGTTATGCCTAAATCTTTGTGATGCATAACATTTTAATTTATGAAGTATGTATTTTTCTTAATAAATAATTAATTGTTTTCTAGGTTTCATAATACATAGTGCACTTGGATCCTAACATGTAGGCTACGAAAGATATTTAATTAGGAGATATTTTGTGGACTGTTGCCATTTATACTGGTCTATATCTTGTGCCTATAAAGTACTACCTTTTTATGACAGATTGTACAGAGGACCGCTTGGAACAATGCGAGGTGATGTATGTAAGTGAAAAGGAGAACCTTTTCAATTAAGGTGTATTTTACAAGCACAAGCAGATTAGGGCCTGTTATAATCATAGGCAAACAGGAAATCATGCATCCGCAGTAGGATATTTCTATGTTTTTAAGTAATCTTCAAGATATAGGTAATGAAATCTCTGTGATGAAAACCAGTGTCGGAATTTCAGCATCTGCACAGTGGAATCTGAGTATTACTGAGTAGATTCTAGGAGAACTTTATAAAGTGACTTGCTGTTAGTAATATTTTTTATGTTTTGTTTAATGTTGTCGAAACTAATTTGATAATGGTTTGGGAATCTGAAGATTCAAGATAAGGTTCCAAATACATTTTGGGTCCGATTAACTGTCAGTCTTACAATTTTGTGTTTCAAATAAACCATTAAATATTAATATATGTTGTATATTATTTAATATTATATTTGTTGTATGTGGTACAAAATGGTTTCTATAATTTTCTCAATGCATTTTTGTAATGATAAATACAATCGAATGTAAAAGCGTAATTTACGTTTATGTACATGCTTCAAAAAGCATGCAGTCAGGGGCGTATTTACACTAAGGCCAAAAGGGCCATATTCTGGGACGGCAGGCTGAGTGGGGCGGCGCAAACCCTTTAGGGCCGTCATGTCAACCCACCGGCGCGGCGGTCTGTCGAACCGACAAAAACTACACGGTGTGCATCTCTGAGACTGAAATAGGAAGGAACAGATTTTATTAAGACATCCAGACCCCACCTTCTTTAATCCTCGCAGCTGACCACTATAGCGGATATAGAAGACAACCAGGTTGCCAGAGGAAAATCGGGCCAGAGTGGAGGTCTTCCTCCCGGGCTCTCCCCGCCCCCTCCTTCTGCGCGCTAACGCCTTCGCCGAAAAGTTAAAACATCTGTCGCTACCGGCCATGGAATGGAGCTTTTGATGACCGGTAGCGACAGATCTTCTCCGATGACTGCAATAAGGACCAGACGCCGCGAAGCCCAAGCCGGGCAAATATATAAACCCGCCTCTTGAATCACTCTCTTTAATGGTTAAAACAGCAACAGCATTAAAATTCGTTGTCTACGTTTAAAGATTTAAGCGTACAAAAAGATTTGGTCTCTGGTGTGTTGAAGCGACAGTAGTGAGTTTTTAGGTTATTTTCTGAATTTTGGCATATAATTTCATATTGTGCTTTCGTAATAGTGTTTGTGTGGTTCTGTGGCAGGAATAATCCTTAACAAGGTTAGTGAATATTAACAACCGCGCTCATTTCTACGGAAATGAGCGCGGAAGACCCCCCTGATGGGGGCGGTGTGTTACCCCCCGATAAACCCAAAGCTATAAAGCGACAATCGGACTCAGTCTTTCCCGTTGACTTCGATGGAAAGAAAATACGTTCACCAGCTGAATCGATTCAGTCAATTTTCTCAAAACCTGGATTTGAGTCTGATTCCAGGCTCGAATACTCGGTATCAGACAAGGGTCCATATTCTGTGTATGTTTCTAGGCTTGAACCTGATCCATCATCCGGCCTGTCCCTTAAGGCACTCAAACTCGCCCAGTTCTTATACAAAAACAAAATACCTGATATTGTAGAGGGAACCATTAAAAATATGGGTCGTAACAAAGTCTGTGTGGAATTTGTGTCCGCTATCTCAGCGAATAATTTTGTTAACTCCCCAATTGTCAGACAATATAACTATGTGGCAAATATTCCTCGCTTCCAAGTATTTCGTATGGGTGTTGTTAGGGATATCCCTACTGAGTGGACTCTAGAGGAACTAGTATCTGGAATATCTGTCCCTAAGAATTGTGGTGAAGTTGTTCGAGCTAGACGTCTTAATGTTAAGAATAAAAAAGATAAAGTATCCGTTTGGGTCCCATCGAACTCTGTGGTCCTAACTTTTCTAGGACAGAGTCTGCCAGAAAAAATTTTTTGTTTTAATGCGTCATTGCCAGTGTCGCTTTACCAGTTACCTACCATACAATGTAGGAATTGTTGTCGGTTCGGCCACATTGCCAAACAATGTAGGTCCCAGCCCCGCTGCTATAAATGTGCTCAGCCGCATTCTGGTGACTCCTGCCTGGTTCCTGACTCGGAGATATCTTGTTTTTTATGTCATGGTGGTAGCCATTGTGCTACTGATAACAGATGTCCCGAACACAACAGACAAAAATCCATCAAAAGTGTCATGTCTCAGGAAAACCTCAGCTATATGGAAGCATCAGCTAGATTTCCACAGTTTGCCAAGCGGCTATATTCTGAGGCTGCTGCCAGTCCCAAATCCCCTGCTAATTTCCCTCTAAACCCTCAAACTCATCCATCCATCATACCTCTCCCATCTGCTTCTCCCTCTAAATCATACAAAAAAAACAGTTAACCTTCCCCCTCGCCGTATATCTATGTCTGGGAAGACATATGATATTCATGCCCATAATACAATTACTCAGTCCCCAACTTCTATCCACCCTAATGGTTGTTGTCTTATCCCCCCTACTGAAACAACTCCTCTTGCTACTCCTAATGACAATCTTGTACAGCTCCTTCTTTGCTCTTTAATTAACATGCTGTCTAAAATGTCAGATGCCTTACCGTACGACGTTGCAGTTCTTGTTGAACAACTACTTTCTGTTATCACAAAAAATAATGCTTCCAATGGCTCTCCAGGTCCTGCAATGGAACTGTAGGAGTATCCGACGTAACAAACAAGATATCTCTTACTTGATCAATCAACATAAACCTGTTGTTTTTGCAGTTTCCGAAACGTGGTTAAAGCCTGAATTCCATTTTAGAATTCCTGGTTTCTCTTGTCTTCGGGATGATAGAAGTGATGGTTATGCTGGTTGTGCCTTATTGGTCAATAGGAATATTACATTCTCTCTAATCTTATTACCAAACCACTCTCTTGGCTTAAATATAGTGGCCCTCAGAGCTTTTAATGTTTCCTTTGTCTCTGTCTATATTCCCCATCCCAACACAAGCATTCTTCTTGAATTAAAAACAATTCTTTCAACTATCCCCTCCCCTATGATTGTTTTAGGAGACTTTAACTGCCGTCACACTCTATGGGGATCTCACTGTATTGACTCATGCTCCTCTGTCTTACTTGACGTTATGGATGATTGCAACTTGTGCATCCTTAATGATGGATCCGCAACTCGTAGAGTTTCTCCATGCCAAAATATTAGTGTTCCAGATTTAACACTATCTTCTCCTTCCCTAGTCTCCCTCCTATCCTGGTCCCCCCTGCCAAACTCCCTTGGTAGTGATCACTTCCCTATTTTAATTTCATACTTCCCCTCTACTTCATATGTTCCCCCAACCCTACAACCCCTCCTCAAATACAGAGTTTCCCAAGCCAATTGGGAGCAATTTGCAACATCTCTAGATCAAAATTTAACCACTCTCCCTCAAACAAACTCCTTTAATTTTCTTGTCCTCTATGACCAATTTATCTCTGCAATTAACTCAGCTGCTGATTGCTCTATTCCCCTCAAACTTCCTTCCAATAAATTGACTGCTTCTCCCCCTTGGTGGGATTCTGAATGTACTGCCAGTGTTAAGAAGCGCAGGGAGGCTGAGAACAAATTTGCTGCATCCCTTTCTATGTCGGATTTCCTCAATTTCAAAAAAATTGCTGCTAGCACAACTAGACTTCTTTCTGCTAAAAAATCTTTAGGTTGGCGTTCATTTTGTGAGTCCTTATCTCCTCGCTCTAGTCTCTCACTTGTCTGGAAAAAATTCAAGTCATTCCGAAAAAGTCTTGACGTAACAAATATCTCTAGCAATGACCCTCATTCATTCCTGCACGACTTCCTTAGCCAACTGGCTCCTCCATATGCTCCAGGTTTCGATTGTTTCCCACCTACCTATCCGTTTATTCCAGATTCCTCTCAAAATACCATGGATGATCCCTTCTCTTTCACAGAACTATCCTTTGCTCTAGATAATCTTCATGATTCCTCTCCCGGCATTGACGGTATCCCTTACTCTTTTATTCGTAAATCCTCCAATTCTTCCAAAATTTTCTTCCTCAGTATCCTCAATGCCATCTTTTATTATGGTCAAATACCTGAATCTTGGAAGACCCAAATTGTCATTCCTGTTCTGAAACCTGGTAGAGATCCCAGAAATTCGTCTTCCTATCGCCCTATTGCGCTCTCCTCAGTACTAGCTAAAATAATGGAAACCTTAATTAAATTCAGACTCGAATGGTTTCTAGAACACAACGAATTGTTAGCCAAAAACCAGTATGGCTTTAGAAAAGGTTTAGGCACTTTAGATAGCCTCAGCATCCTCTCCTCTGAAATTCGCCTTGCATTTTCTCGTAACGAGAATGTAATCGGTGTTTTCTTGGACATCTCTGCAGCCTATGACAATGTACATCTTCCTCTTCTCAGGCAGAAAATGCTACATCTGAGTATTCCAGCGAGGATGGTTCACGTCATCTGCAATATG